AATAAAACGAAATTTTATTGTAGTAAATATCTTTACGTTTTAGTTGCGAAAAACAAGTGTTTCAAATTATTATTTTAAGAAAATTTATCACTTTTAAAATAATTCAGTGCTATAATTTTAGTATATTGTATGACGTATTTATAGTACTATTTTAAATGTGTGACAGTGCCACACATATCAGATCAATGTTATATGTATACTAGATTATTGATTAGATATCAATCGAAATTATATGGCTTGCCTGTTGTATTTATGTTTTAATACTAGCAAAAGACTTAAATTTTATTAATATTATTTAAATTTATGTATAACACATTGTAACCTTTTTGTCACATGTACTAATATAAGTATAACACTTAATAACAATATTAAATTGCGTACATGTTGCTTTAAACGTAAACATAGAATATGCAATGAAAAATTATTTAATGTAATAAATAATAAATTTTTCTTAACAAACTTGTAAAAAGTGAATGAATGTTTAACAATAAATACAAAATAAATAGTATACCAAATAAAAGACATACTATAATAAACAATAATTAAGATTATTTACCGCATAGTATATATGTAGTATATAACAGAAATGTAATCTAATTCAATTTTATATAAGGCTTACGTATATCACGTATACATAACAAAATGATTCAAGATTATATTTAACAATTCAACTTTATATAAAAAGTTTCACTGTATATTATGTACTATAATTACTACGCACACATATGCTAATATAGAAAATTTTCGAATATGTATGTGTTTGTATGCCTCTAATCTATTTTTTTATTGAATTCGCAAGTAAATAAATTCATTACAAAAAAAAACTACAGACATAGAAAAAAAATTCGCGTGTATAAATTTGGAGATTTTTGATCTCAAACTTTAAACTTTTTTTTTGGAAACCATAAATATTATTAATCAAATTGGGAGAAAGTATATGTATAAAAACGTGTAATCAAAAATTGAAAAAATTTTACATACATTATATGGACACCTACATTTATATACGTACAATAATTTAGGCAACAAGTTTTTTGTACAATTTATTTCTGTTCTAATCAAAATAATTTCATTTCCTAAATAAGTACAATACTCGTATGAATTAACTACAATATAAGTACAATATGAATTTAGTTTTATTAGAAAAACAAAAATTATTTAAACTATTTAAAATTTGATTTGTCGAACAGAAATCAAATGAAAACTAAGGGCTCGGATAGACATGGAATTTTTAGTTTCGCAACTGTTTGATTGCTTATTTCTTAAAATATTCCACTGGTTTATATTCAAATGCGCACACATGCAACTGTATGGTCGCAAGCAATCAAACAGTTTTTAATTTTTTACAAACTGATTGCAATTTTTGTTTAACGTATTCGATTTGAATTGACGTAACAATTTAGTTGGTTAGATGTGTGTGCAGCGCATTCTATAATCAAGCTATTATTGCAAAATTGAAAACTGCATGTCTGTCTGTTCCCAAATTTTAATCAATTTAAATTGTTCAATATTATACATTATTTATTTTCAGTTTAAATACATAAATTTATGAGGTAGGAATTTTAACATCAAACACTGCTCATTGATTTTGCTCGATACGAATTTAATAGGAATATATAATTTTATTTGATCTATCAAACAAAATGTATGATCAAACAACATGCACATCAAACAATCATACTAAAATTTAATCAAATCAAACAAAATCCATGAGTAATATTTGATAGTGTAAACCCTGATCAAAATTTATCTTTATTAAATATATAGTACATATATAGGGTATATATACATACATATATAGGATATGTAGTATATCAATTATTTTAAATATAACAATATTATCTTTAATATAAATTATTTAAATATTATAATAAACAAAATTTTGAGTTTTTATTTTTATTCTTAAACAAAATTCTAAATTCTACTGTTTTTTTACTTTAATTCCTTGTTTGTTAAATAATTATAACAAAACTAGGAATTAGGTATATATGTAAATATTTTGATTTAAAATATGGTACACAATAATATTTTTTGTTTATACATAATTAATGTATGTATGTATGAATGTTCCATCCTATATAAATATTGACATCGATCTATTTATAATATAATTCTAATCTAAAAGTTTAAAATACTTCTATACTCGTATAAATATATAAAATAAATTTAATATAACAAGTTTATTAAAGTAATCACGTAGACCAAAAATTTTGCAAGCCTTACACGTGTATTTGAAAAATATTAATTAAAAAGTTGATTATTGATAAACGAATAAATACCATGTGTGTATGAAGCTACATATGTATATGCTATTGTGCAGACATAAATTCTAGTATAAATAATAATTTATAAGGAAATGCGAGACAAACTTGATTTTTTTTTAATTATATTAAAAATATTTTTATGAATATTATAGAAGATGAAATGTTTACAAACATGTATGTATGTATAGGAATATATAAACTGCTAGTCTATTTAAAAATATTTTGGTTTTTTAAAGTCAAAACAAATTTTTTATTATATAACAGAATTACAACTCTTAGTTGGCTTCCAATTTAATTTTACATTTATGATTTTATCCGGTACATGATAATAAATAAAACATAATAGTATTTTAGGTCTTAATTTAAGATTATATAAAATTTAAAAGAATATAAAATTATTACACATTATTTGTATTGTCGTAAATCGTATTAGAAATATCGTATTAAAAATACGATATTTCTCACGTAATTACACTAAGTCCTAGAAATACGACATCTTCTCATACAAGATTTCGAGTTAGGACATGATATAAATTCAGCTTATTTTTATTCGGCTTGCGACATTATTTCTAATACTACATTAAAAATTTAAAATTTTTTTTTTGTTTTTAACCGATTTTATTGTTTTTGGAATAAAAATCTATATACCGAATTTAGTTATAAGACATGACTAAAGTACACACTTCAATAATGAACTCTTTCTAGGTAAAAATTCTAGTTAGTAGTTAAAAATACGAATTGAAGTGATATAATATCAACTTAATCAAATTTTTATTTTATTTAATTGGATTTTTTTGGTTTTGTTGTCATATTTTGTTGTTTTATTAAACTTTATTACCTTTTTTTAAAAAATAGGTCAATTATATTATAAAATAGTTTGTCTTATTCACTTTTTGTTTCCATACATTTTTTTTGCCTCCTCAAACGGCAATTCGAGTTACGACAGAAATTTCTGGAATCAAAAATTTCGTATCACAAGGACTTAGTATATATTTTTTCAAACAAGTAGTTAAGATTGTAAGGTTATATACAGAATTTTATCTTTTACAAAATACTAAGTTCAAAATATTTTATTTAAAATGCTAAAATTTATATAGGACAAATAAATATTTCTTAAAACAAAAATTTATTTGAAAAGAAACGAAGTTAAAATTATTTTGTACTTTAAATTTGAATTGTTTAATTATTTTATTACAAATTATACCTACATATATACATATATCAGCATATGGAATGATAAATTTAAATGTTTTCACCTTAAATTACCGTTTACACTTAGAGGCAATCATAGGATTTTGAACTCTACTGTAGAATTCTTCGGCAACTAACGTTATCGTGCTTTAATACTTACCTGACCAATATATTTTGGTATTGTATTTGTATATTCTTCATTTTATTATTCTTTAATATTTTTTTTTTATATTAATTATTCAGTAATATTAAAATTCTAAATGATTGTAAATGATCTTTGAAGAGACACTAAAATTATCCGAGTTTTTTTTTTATCAATTTTAAACATATTTTTTTTTTTAAGCGGCTCTTTAAAATTGTAGTCATATATAACAGTATAACTATATATTATTTTTATATATTGTATACCATACGTTTATTTCATATACATACCTAGAAAGCTGCAGTAAATAACAGAAACGTGCCCGGATAAAAATTTAACAAAAAATATACATGTCGAACTTATGTATATGCATGTATATGTATATTTATCACCAAAAAGGAAAAAAAAAGATAATAAAACAAAAATTAAATGTTAATAAAGAGAAAAATTACCAAAAAAAAACCTGTTTTAAATTGAATTTTATCTCAACAATTTAAATCTACAATTTTCAAATTAAAATTTATGTACATATGCCGTTTATAATACCCATGTTATGTTATGTTATATAATAAACTCAAAACTTTGGTGTAAGTATGTATGTATGGATGAGTTTCATGAAAACATTAGTACAAATTTAATTTTTGTTTTCAATTAAGAATGTTCCCAAAATTTTAAAAATACTTTCGAAACAAAAATTACAAAAATTAAATGTGCCTCTATAAAAAAAGCCGGCTTTAAATATAACAATATTTCATCCAATATCATACGTACATGTGTATGTAGCTATACTGTCTTTGTATTTTCACTGTATGTATATTTTTAAAAAAACACAATACATATCTATTGCACGTAAACAAATTATATTAATCATAAAGGTGAAATTTCTGAACCATAAATACCTAAAATTGAATAATGTTATTTTAAAAAAAAAAAACTAAAGCTTTCAATAACAGATTTTTTATAACATATTCAACAAAGTAATGTAAACATGAATTTCTTATTATACATATATAGGTATGTATATGTTTATAAGTAAAATATAGTAATAATTAAAAACCAAAATTAAAATAATTATTTATATTTTATTTATGTATGTATGTAAAACAATAAATTTTTTTTAAAAATAAATCAATTACATACTTACATTCTATTAAATCCAAATACAATAAAATTTACATATTAAAATACAAACATAACCTCCTAGAACATAATACTAACAGTAAATATTAATAATTTCAACATTTTTTTTCTTTCATTTCATCTATTCAACTCACCATACCAATATCCTCTTCTTTTTTATTTATTAAATTGAAATATGGTGAAAAATAAAAGCTTCTTTTCAATTTGGCTAAATTGAGAGCGCAAGTAAATATTTTATTCAGTTTTTTCTGTAAACTCAACCAGAGAAGTTGTTTTACTATAGATTTTTATAAAAATTAAAAAAAATAATAACAGTAATATTATAAGATATATTTATGTATATATGTATATGAGAATTAAAATTTAATTGAACTTTCACTAACAAAATTTTTATTTCGTATTTAATTTAAATATAAATAATAAAATAAATTGGAATTGTATAAATAAAAGAAAAATCTAGTCAAGAAAAATTTGGAATCAATTAAAAAAAACGAAAGATTAAAATGAATAGTTTGAGAGCACTTCAAAAATCAGCAGGGTAAGTTTAATAAAAATTAGTTCATATGTACCTGAAATATAATTAAAAATTCTATTTGGACATTTTATAAGATTTTTGGAATAGAAAATTTTTGTTTAAATTACAAAATAAATGAGGATGTATGTATATGCATACACTTATGTACATACATACAAATAATTTAATATCTACATAATAAAATCCACTTTAAATTTTTTAAATTGAAAATTATTTTGTTCAAAAAATATTGTTAATGTGAATATAATTTAACGCAAGTAGAATTTATTAATTTTATTGTTCTGCCACCAAATATTTTATAAGAAAATTGTAGTTTTTACAACTATTTTCAAATTGATGACGTCATATGTTAATAAATAATTTTAAATTTTTTTTAAATCCAAATCCCGCACTTATTTTAAATTTAATTTTTTATCTATGTTCTACCATTTTACACATGTTCATTTTTTTTTTTGTTGGGAATTCGATAAAGATGTTCAAATACGAAAACATATGATGTATTTTTTTTTTTCCTAATTGTATGTAATCAAAATGGAATTATGTATGTACATAATGTGTGTTGATATTATGTATATAATATGTAGGTACATAAAAATTTTTATATATTTTTATTTTTATTTTTAGAAGCTTTTTTGTTTTCATTTTATTTAATTTCCTTCTTGCCTTTGGTAATTTTTTTGAGTTTTGTGGTTATTTAATATAAGTAATAAAATATGAAAATCATAATAGTACCCAACACACATGTTAGAAAAATAACAAAATATAATTTATATTATTATGAAAACAAAATGGAAATTTAATTTACATATGATTTTTTTTTAGATATTTGCATAGCCAAAAAAATTTATTTAAATTAAATAATGGTGCGATTATATCTGGCTTACAAAATTCTACTAAAATTCTAAATAATCAAAGAACAATGGCTACTACTGAAGAACCTAAAAATGATAAACAAAAAGAAAAAAGTGGTAATATTGGAAGAGATTTATTAATGGTTATTGCAGCTGGAGGTGCTATTGGTGGTGTTTTATTCGCTTATATGGGTATGTATAAATTTTATCAAGTAATCAAAAATGATTTATTTAATGGTTTTGGAAATTATTTTAGTTATAATTATTTGTTCGTGTACGAATATAAGTATATACATATAATATATTTCTTTAATTATGCTTAATGACCCTCACTACATAGATTTTTATGTATTGTCTTGTTTGAAAAGTTAAAATTTTATTAAACATGCTTTATTATATGCATATATATAGTTATCATTTTATTTATTTTAGGTCAAAAGCTTTAAATTATCAAAATGGTTTTGAAATTACTTCAATATATATATATATATATATTGAAAATTTTTGGAAAAAATATCTACAATTTCATATTATCTCTAAAAAAATTGATAACAAAATTTTATAAATAATTTTGTTTTTTTTTTTTTTTTGTTAAACAAATAATTTTCTTATTTGATTATTTAATCATATATTTTTTGAAAATCCATATGATAATTTGAAAATTTTTATAAATTGAATAACTAAATGTTAAAACAGATTTAGTTTTTTTTTATTATTTTCTTGAAAATTTTACTGAATCTAGTTTAATGTTGAATATTAGAAAATGCTTAGGGTATTTTATTACCTAAAATTAATAGAATGTTTAAATAGATTAACTTGTTTCTATAATTCGAAATCCGATAAAAATTTATGGTTCGTTTGACTTTCAATAATAATATTGTTTATCAATTTGTAGCATAATTTTTGAAAAAAAAAAAAACATTTTTTAATGGCTACTTTTAAAGTAGTTTCATTGACTTTACATACATGCATATATATGAAGTGGTTTTAATGTGAAATCTAAACAAGAACTATAAAAATATTTTGTAAGAATTTACAGCAATAATATTAAAATCAAGGTTATTACAACATTTATTTATTTATTTAAATTTAATTTATACTTTTAGGTCAGTTAACACACGCAATACTTTGTGCATAATTTTAACTTTATTCCTATTAAATTTCGTTATTATAGATGGAATAATTAATTTAAACATTTATTCTTCTTTTCAAACATGAATTAAATTCAAATTAAATTAACATTTATCTTTATATAATTAATAAATACACAACATATTAAAATATTGTTTCCTATACTCTTAATAAAGAGAAACTAAATTTTTTTATAAAATTTGTAAAATATAAAAATTAATTTTCTTTATACAATTTTTCTTTTTTCTCTAATTTTAGAATACAGAGAAAGTAAAGGTGTATGAACACATCCTTTTCATATTTGTTCGCAAAAATGATAAATTATTATTATTTTTTTGAGAATTTAAATATTTTTATGATCTAATGAAGAAGCTTGATAACATTTTCAAATTATTTCCATTTTTAGTTATTAAAAATAAAATGTATTATGCAAGTTAAAAAAAATACCTCAAATATTCATTTTTTTTTATTATTTTTAAATGCATTTAAGCTATTTTAAGAAAAAAATTAAAAAACAGTTTTATTTTAAAATATTTTTAATTCAAAAAATTAATAAAATAAGAATAAAAAAAAATCTTCCAATTAATTGTATTGTAGATGTTTAAATAAACAAAAAATTATTTTTTATATCAATATTAATTATATAATAATATGAAATTAGAACTAACTATTTTGTATGATTTATTTTTAAAAAAAATATACGAATAATAAATGTCGGATAAAATAAAATTAAAGAAATATGATTAATACAATTTATTAAAAATTATATAAAACTCAAAATTACAAAACAAAAAAAAATAAATAAAAATAAAATTCATGGCACAATGTTGACGATTTTTTTTTTTTAGTTTTCTTTGTTAATATAAAGTACCTAAATTGTATATATTTCAAGGCAAAGCATTTAAAAGAGCCTTAAAGAAATAATTTCAGACTGCTATACCATTTGCTTTTAAAAATTTCGTCCTAAATCTTTTTTATTAAGTACTTACAAGCAGTTATGTTAGTTTAATAAGAAATGCCAAGGAAGTATTATTGAAAATCAAGTGCGGCCAATTAGTCATGTAATTGAAATATGAAAAAATTAACAATTGTATTTTCTTCGCTGCCGCAATCATGATTTTTTTTCCTCTTAAGAATATTTCTGATTTCAAAACCGAAATGCTACTTTATTCAGATTTTGCCACTGTACTTTTGGTAAGAAATTTAAATCTCAATATATTTTATGTAGAATTGCCGAAAACATCTTATTCTATGGTTAATTATTTGTTTAAATATTTGCCGTCTATAGGTCGAATACAAATACAATACATATTACGATTTGTAACTTACCAAATACCATCACTGCCATTTTAGATCTAATATTGTAAGTAAAATTATATTTTTACCTTAAGCTTGAAAATTTTGAATATCAAAATATCAAAATAAAAGCAAAACCACAGCTTCAAACTATAAGAAAAAATAATATGTGATAAATAATTGTGTTATATTCTAAAATGAGCTTTTTCAATACGTGAAAATATACTTATATATTTTTTTTTTAATTTTATATTTACTTATGTAAAAAAATATATATATCAGAAAGACGAAGGTCAAGGCTATTAAAACATTATGTATGTAGCTCTAGATTATATTGAATTTGAGATAATATGAAAAGTATATTTGTGAACATGTGTTAAGTATGAAAACAAAAAAATACTGTTAAAAAAATTAAAAATAATATGCTTGTATTATCCATATATATATATCTATATATATATACATATACATATATACAAAGTCAATTCTAAAACAATTCAACTTTAATACTTGTTTGGGAGATAAAAAAAAATTTTTTTAAATGAAAACAGAATAAATCATAAATTTCTCGGTATTTTAATAAAAATATTGTGAATGAGATGGTAATATGGTACATAGGTATATGCCAAATTATATAATAACTGAAAAAAGAATTACATATTATACCTGCTTCAGTTCAAATTAAAATACAAATTAATTTTAGACTGTTGAGTTTAAAATTTCTGGTCATGCTTCTGTTTATTGTTACGAGTATGTTGTTCAATTGTGAATAAATTTACATTTAAATTCTGTTATTTAGCCAAATCAGACTAGTATTACAAAATACTTTAACAATATTTCGAAATAATATGTTTATCTTTTTGTATTTCTCTGTATTTCTAAACCAATTTGATTTGATGCTTAATTTACTTTATAGTATAGTGTAGTTATAAGCAATATATGTTTGTATGTACGTATGCATATTGTGAATTTTTAGCCTTTTCTCGCTTTTTTCAATTAAAATTACAAAATATCTACATAAATGCTTTCGCTTCTATATTAAATTGAATATTTCCAAAATCACCTTAAGTTTAAATAGAAAGGATACGCAATAAAATTAAAAAATATTTTTTGATTATAGAAAACAAACAAGTACAAGCTCAGTCAACTAAAGACAATAATTATGAAAAGTATCATAAGATGGTACGTAAAGACTTACCTACATATAAAATGGCTGATGTTAATAAACATGATACGTGAGTTAAAATATCTTGAAATCGTATATATTTATGTATGTATATTTTATATGGTGTATTAATGTGCGTGCATATGAAAAAAAAAGACGTTTTAATTCAACTATTTATATAGAGAAAAATCAATTTGGGTGACATTTGGTGTTGGAGTTTATGATATAACACCGTTAGTCCCAATACATCCTGGTAGCAAAAATATAATGATGGGAGCTGGCTCATCTCTAGAACCTTTTTGGGAAATTTATGCTCAGCATAAGACACAACAAATTTATGAATGGTTAGAAACATATCGAATTGGTAATTTAGATCCAAAAGATACATTTGTAGCAAATAATGAAACAAGTGGCCCTTGGGCAAATGAACCAATACGTCATGCAATTTTGAAACCCGCTTCCAAGCAACCTTTTAACGGAGAGCCCCCAGCAGAAATATTAGTTGAAAAATTCCTTACGCCACAGTAAGTTTCTTATTCCACTGCTTTTTAAAATTTATTACCTTTGGCCAGATTTTATTCATTAACAGATCCTCCGTTTTTTGTAACAAATTGAAAAATATAAAAATATAATTTTTTTTAGGGAAATCTTTTACATAAGAAACCATTTACCAGTTCCTGATTTAGAGGAAAATTCGCATGAGGTTGAAATTTTGGATGAAAATTCGAAAAAAACCAAAACTTTGACTATGGCTGACATAAAAAAAATGCCGAAATACACAGTAACCGCAACTATAATGTGTGGAGGAAACAGACGTTCAGAAATGCACGATGTAAAATATGAAAAAAATAAAAACGCGTTTATTAAAATTTAACAATTATGTTTTTTTAGTATAAATCTGTAAAAGGTCTGTATTGGGGCAAAGCAGCTGTTGGTAATGCAAAATGGTCAGGTGTTAAACTTCGTGACATTCTTCTATCAATGGGAGTGAAATCAAATGAAAAGCAGCATGTTATTTTTGAAGGAGCAGATTTAGATCCAGCATGTAATCCTTATGGTGGATCAATAGCATTATCGAAAGCCATGGATGAACGTGGAGATGTTATTCTTGCTTATGAAATGAATGGTCAACCGTTGACACGAGATCATGGATATCCATTAAGAGTTATTGTACCTGGTGTTGTAGGGGCGAGAAGTGTTAAATGGATTTCAAGAATTAGTGTTTCAGATCACGAATCAGATTCACATTGGCAACAAAATGATTATAAGGGATTTAGTCCTAGTACCGATTGGGATACAGTTGATTTTTCTAAATCACCAGCTATTCAAAATATGCCAGTTACATCAGCAATTTGTATACCAAGTCCAGGTGAATCAGTAAAAGTTTCTAAGGGAGTAATTCAGATCAAAGGTTATGCTTGGTCAGGTGGTGGTAATAAAGTAGTTCGTGTTGATATAACTGCTGACGGTGGTGATAATTGGATTGTTGCCGATATTATTAGACAAGGTGAAGAGCAACCTGGAAAACATTACGGTTGGGTTATATGGCAAGCAGAAATTCCGGTAAAAAAAAATCAAAAAGAAATTGAAATTTGGTCAAAAGCAGTTGACTCCAATTATAATGTTCAACCTGAAACATTTAAAAATACTTGGAATTTAAGAGGTGTTCTTAGTCATGCTTATAGCAGAATCAAAGTTAAATTACAACATTAAATAATTAAATTTTTTTTTTTTTAGTATTTTTGTATATAGTTGATAATATTCTAAATATTACTTTTAGAAAAATATTTTGAAGGCTGAATTATAGAGTTTATAAAATAAACTTTAAAACATTTTTAGAATTGAATTCATCTTTTAAATAAAATCTTTTTTTAAATATTTTGTATTTATACAAAAATTATAAATATTTTGTTTAATAAATATTTTTTAAGATACTTTTTTGTAAGTTTATACTTATGAAGATGGAAAAGATGTTAATTACATTTCCTAAAAAAAAAACTTATTAGTCAATAATTAATTAAAGATCAACAATTTTGCCATGGATATAATCTACTGAATTATATTCTATACATGTAAATTTCGGATACTTGTCACAAAACAGTTTAACTATATTACTGCGTTCGGAAATCATTCGTGAGTAACTACAAAGTAAAAACAAACGCTACTTTTATTTGTGGATTAGGCAACTGTTATCAGTATTGGTTGAATAGAAGTGATTATGGATTGCATTTTTGAATTTCTTCTTTACCATCATAGTTGTACTCTTCTTAGACAATATGGAATAAGACCAAGTAAGATTAGTATTTAATTGATTTTTAAAGTATTGCAATAGTTTATAATGTGATTAAATAACAAAATTTAATTTTTTTTTTTTTTTTGAAACAGCAATTGTCTTTTTTATTTATTATAATAATTATATTATGTAATATGTAAGTATATTATCATTTTATATATGTATATATATGATATATATGTTTATATTAAATTTAAATTTATAATAAATCATATTTTATTTTTATTTTCTGAAATTTTTAAAAATTAATTTCTTATTTTTTTTTTTTTTTTAAATATAAGAATAGTTTAAGAAATTTTGGAAGTAAAATTTTCCATTGCTAAACATAATAGAATTTTTTTGCATTTTCACGTTAAATATAATTATATTTGCCATTTATTTAATATAATTAATATATAAAATTATTAGATTCAATAAATTTTTAATCATTATTGAAAAATTATAGAAAAAAACAAAATTAAACTCTTTAATTCTTTGAAATTCTTTCATTTAAATTCAATTTGTATTTTTATTAATCTTAAAAATTCACTTGAAATTTTTAAATAGAAGTTTATCTTGTAAAGAGCTTGTAAAAACTGAAATAGTTTAAAATAGAATACATTTTTTTAAAGAAATTTAAGAGAAAGCAAATTACATTTATAAGTTCCAATTTCTTTAAAGTATTTTGATGTTAAATATTTATTGCAAATTGAAAATACTTGATAGGAGGAAAATTCTTTTACATTTTTATAATTGGTATGTTCGGCCCTAATAACATTATTATTGCTAAATTTTTTATTGCAAATATAATTTTAATAAAGAGCTTTTTATTTAAGTATTGAATTAAAAGTTGCTTAAGCATTGAAAGGATTCAAGCACATTTCTTGTTACTTTATTTGTTTATTTTTAGAGGCAACTTTCGAATAAAGTAAATTTAGCTGATAATTAAATAGTTTTTCTTTTGAAAATACTAATTGGAAAATTTCATATTTTTCTTAAACTTATAATTAAATAAATAAATGAAAAATAAATCTAATTCTAATATTAAAAATAAAAAAAAAATTTTTTCTTCTTCTTTTCAATCTCTAAACAAATTGATACATAAATAAATCTAAATCAAAAAACAAAAAAAAAAAAAATTAAATGGAAAAGAAAATTTTATTTTTTAACTTTTAAAAGAATTTAAAAGTTTTTTAAAATACAAATTTTTTTTTGTTAATTTTTTAAATACATAATTTTGAAAAATTCAAGTAAAAACGGAAAGAATATTTTGGTGATTATTAATATTAATTATAAATAATTTTGTTTGCTTTCCAATATCCACTTAAAAATATTGCAGCTTTAAGAGTTCGAAATAAAAATTTTCTTTTATTTGATATTTTTTTTTTTTGGACCTCCTCCGTTTAGTATCAGTTTTCAATTTATTTATTTTCCACTGAATGGCCAATGAGATTTTCTAGAATTTATTGATCCGATACTGCTGGCACTAAGTGTACTACTGCTATGTGTACTACTTCTTCCTGATGAATATGTTCGATTTCTAAAATCATTTAATGTTGGAGAAGTATCGCCGGTACTATTACCATTACTAACATCAACATTTGTAACAATACCGCTAACAATATGAGAATTTCCATTTGAATTTGGTATAGCAAAAATATCCTGAACATTAGGTCGAGAAGATTGTCGATTATCTAATGATTCTAAAACAAAAAAAAAAAAAACATTTTCATATTAATTGCTTATTAAATAATCGAATTTTATTTTTTCGCATTTTACCTAAAATTGGTACTTGATCATAGAATGAACCTTGCCGCGTATTTCTAACAAAATAATTTCTTGGATTATATGGTACTGCCAATTGCATTGGTTCCGATTGACATACATGTCCCCACTGATTATGTTCTCTTATAGCTTTTTTAACAGCTGAATACCATTTTAGTGCATCTGGTGCTGTTTTTGTTCTAAGTATATATTCCTATAAGAAAAAAAAAAAATTAATAAAATAAATCAACAACAAATTATAAGAACAAAGAAAAAAAAACAAAATTATATCATTACTTCAATACTTCCATTTTCTAGATTTGTTACAACCAAATCAGTCTCTCCAGTTCTTAATTTAAGTTTAGTTTCACGTGTTATACCAACAGAACGTCTTGGTTGATAACTTCCTTGAAATGCTTTTTCATCATCCCAAATTTCGACTCTAAATGCTTGAAGTCTTGCATAACCTTGAATTGGTCGTGTCGGTTCTTTTTGTAATAAACATATTTCACCATTTATAGTTGATTGCTCATAAAAATCTGGTTGAATAGCAAGACGACAACAGAAATGACCAAATAACGGTAATTTATTACTTATATTTACTGTTGCATTATTTGGATTTAAACATAAATCATGTGTATGAGCTGTATCTGAAGCTTCAGCCAATGTTAAATGTGCTGTAGCTATTAATTCAAATTTCGGACCACTAAATTGCAAAATTAAACAAAAAAAAAAAAAAAAAATTAATTAATTTGTATGTATTGTGTGTATTTGTGTGTATGTATTTGAATAAAATTCAAACAAATTAATATTTTTAGATCCTGATCCTTGAAATTCAAAGAATTACTAAATTTCTTAATTAGAGAAAATTGAGTACTATCACAAATTCACTTACAATTTAAATTTCAAAATTAAATTTTTCTTACATTTTTGTATTATTTAATTCATCCTTTAAATTGGCTGCCAATTTTCTACCTACTGTTCTTGATATTGATGAATGTATTGTATTTTTTATTTTTCTAGGTGTTGATGCAATTGATAGATCAGATTCCATCATTACAGCATAAACTTCCAATTTTAATTCAAAATCTGGAGTAATATTTGTGCTAAAATTAAATATATGTAAATAAAATTTATTTAATCTTTAAATTATGCTATTTAGAAAAAAATACTTACAATAATATGGCATCATTAAAACAAAGATCAGTTAAATTTCTATCAACCGGTGATAATAAGGATGTATCATAAATTTCTGTTCCAATTTTAGCTAAACAAAAAACTGCAAATCTACGATAATCACCTTTATTTTTAAAGTGATCTGTATCACGCCACATTAATGGCATACGTATTTCACTTAATGAAACTTTACCGCGTGGCTTTGTTTTTGCCAATGTATCTTTATCACGTTTACGACGTTGTAATTCTGCCATATATGCTGTCATTCTTTCATTTGATGTTAAAAGATTTTTAGCTGCTTCTAACATTTGTGTATTATGTGTTGTATGATTATTTAATGTATTTGATGAACCATTTCTAGAATTATTACATGCTGCCAATAATTTTGCAGAACCTTCACGCATTTTTATTTCTAAATCAATTTTTTGTTCTAAATCAAGTTCCTGTTAAAAATAAAAATAAAAATTTTTAATATTATTATACCTAAGATTTTTTAATTAAATTTTTGAAAATAAATTATGAAATTTGTTTTTTTTTAATACAAAATTATTTTTACAAGTTCATATTTGAATTGAAGAAGTTTACAGTTAACAAGAATGTTAAAAATATTCCGAGATTTAAATGTGCCTAAGCATAAAAATGGAAAATGGATTTTTGATGAGAGCATAGAAAAATTCAAATTTATAGCAAAAGAATATGATGATAAATCTGAACCGGAAATTGTATTACCGAAACCATTTCAAATTGGAGTTTTTAATTTTAAATATTCAATGGATCAAGTTGAAGAAGTTGGTGTTTTTAAAGATAAATGAAATATTTTAAAAATTAACCTTATGTTTATATTTAATATTCTTTTAAGATTATAATGAGACGCATTTTTACCCGAAATCCTTCAACATTTGATAGTGATGTAATTACAATTCAAGATGTAAAAAATTTAGTTTTATTTTTATCGCCATCAGAACTAATAACCAAAAAATTTATTGATTTTGTCTTTGAAGAAACTTTTGACAAATTTCTAAATGCTTTAATAATTTATTTTGAATATTTTCTAAAAGTAGTTGAATTTTTATTAATTGAACGTAATAAAATTGAAAGTGGAAAATTATCAGATTCTGAGCTATTTCAAATAGAACAAGTGCTATCAGAATATTTAACACAATATAGATTATTAATAGCCAAAGAATATGCTAAAGTATGTACATATGTATATAATGAATATATTTTTAATTAAATAAAAATTTTGGAAATTTTATATTTTATAAAATCAAGATTCTTATGGGAACTCATGGTTTAAATAAATATCATCATTTAAAGCCTGGATGTAAAATATCAAGAACTAAATCAGATAGTCTTTTTCGTTCTGCATATTTAGAATTTTGTATTCAAATCATATGGATAACACATCATCGAAGGGAATATAAAATAATTGGTGAAATTTTCTCACCTAATTTAAATATAAAATTAAAATAATAAATTATTTTTATAGATAATGAAATGAGAAGACTTTTTGGATCATATCATTTTAATTTGACTGAAAGTAAAATCACAACTGAAGAATATATTAAATTTAATGAATTGGAGAAAAAAATACTTTATGGTAAAAATAATAAAAATTGTAATTTTAGACAACAAAATTCACCAATTATACAAGAAATTTTAAATATTTCAATTGAAAATCAACAAATCTTATGGATTGGTGAGAAAAAATATCATGGAACTGATATAAGAATTTTTGAATTGGAATTAGAATATGTTGTACCAGATAGTCAATTAGCATTAATTGATATTTCTCATGGTATTTTAGGACATCCAAAAATATTTTATAATACAATGTTATTATTAGATTGGGCTACTGTTCGAAATATGAATTATAGTGAAAAATATGATCCTTATCGTTTATTTAGGCGACCATATTTAAAAATACCAAAATATGAGGATTTTAAAATGTAAATTTAATTATAAATACAGTAAAATCCGGTTAGCTGCTCCCCTTTTATAACAGTGTTTTTGATATACCAGTACAAAGTTTCGTCGTCTCATTTTATTCCCCCATTTATTTGTATATAAAATAATTCTTTTAAATGCATTTTTTTCAATAGTACAATTTTACTATTGAAAAAAATAGTAAAATTGACTGAAATTTTTTTTTGCTTTCATATGAAAACAATTCTTTTTATAGCATAGTTACAAACCATTGCAAGCAATAAAAATTTTTATTAACAAACTTATACTATATATTTTGTTGCTAATATTTGCCACTAGCTGTCTCAATCTCATTATTTCAAAATAATAATAAGAAAACAATTGATGTCTATCGAAAAAGGATTGACTCCAGGAGAGTTCGGAAAATCGTTTAATATTCATAGAATAAGAATTTGGATGAATATGTATATATATACATATTTGTGTGTCATTACGATTTTGTTTTATTTTATTTAATAGCCGTTTAAGGCTGTTAAGCGGATTCAGTTGAGGGCATCAATTATGCTGCTAAGAGAATTCTTTTACTTGTTTTTGGCATAGCTATACCTAAGTTTTACGACAAAATATTCGAGGCAATTAACCGGACTTTACTGTAGAATATTTAAAATAAAATAAAAGAATATTTTTATTTTTTTTTTAATATAATTTTAGTCATAAAAATTATGAATCGTATTTTGAATTAAAGGATTTACGATATGAAGAAAATTATTATTATATAGAAAATCAGAAACGTCTTTGGTATAAACGTGATAAAATTATAAATAAAATGAAATCAACTGAATTTGAAAATGATATTTTATCAAAATGTCAAAAAGAAATTGATAATTTAGATAAACCGATTTTTATCGATCTTGAAAAAATTGTTAAGAAATATTTAGATGAAAAAAGAAAATTGAAAAAATCAAAAAGTTAAAATAAGATTCATTACAGGAAGATGTGTAAGAAAGATCATGTTCTATAATAAAGGCAAAATCTAATGTGAATATATTAGATAGCATTGTTAAAGTGTTGGCATAATGGTGCCCTATGTTAGGCTAATTCTTGAGTATGCTTTTCAGTAAGCTTGTGGATATTTCTCGTATTGAATCTGTTCAGAGGAAATTTTTGCGTTTCGCTTTGAAAGGTTTGGACTGGTCTGATACTTTTAGATTGCTCTCGTATGAGTTGATGTTGATTGATTTGCAGTTCTTGAGCGCGCGTAGGGGTTGTCACTTTCCAGCCGTATCCAAAGAAATAATCAAATATGCAAAAAAAAAAAATTTATTTTTTAAAATTTAGTTTTTTTTTTTAAGTTTTTAATAGCACCCCTGTTTTCAAGCTCTCATTGCAAATGCGCTGGAATATACAGTCCTGTCGATTACAAAGAATCAATAATAAGCTTTAGGGATAGTTTTTTTTTTTGTGAAACTGATCTAAGTCCACTTTTCTATACAGTGACGATAATTTTCGCAATTATCGTTGTTAAGAAAATTGAAAAAGAATTTCGATATTGACAAATATGAATTTTTGATCGCTTTGAATGGACAAAATAAGCTATTCATATATAACGTATATGTACACACACACATTTATCATGTAGTAAACATTTAATTTTACATATGTATGTATATATTTGCAATGCATTAAAAATATATAAATAGAATGGCCATTACACAATTTTCACTATAACTAATTACAATTTTAATATTTTAAATTTAAAAATTAATTAAATATTTTTAAATAACTATTCTTAAAAAAAAATTTTTCTACACTATTCATAAATAATGTCGCGTCTTCTTGATTTTACAACATGTATTACATATGTACAAGCATATGTACATATGTTGGAATACATTTTTATTGGAAAAACAAAAATTAATTTACAAATTATTCGTAATTTTATAGTAGTTAACGATAAAAGAACCCTTCTTCTTCTTCATCTTCCTCAACTTCGATTCAATTAAAATAACGAGAAGTATACATTCATGAAATAAAATATAAAAAATGTAGCAAATATAATATCCTTTTTACATTATCAGCATACTAATTTGCCATGATTTCATGTTTAAGTGTAATTTCTAAGCAAAAAACCAAAAAAAAAAAAAAAAAAAACAGAACAGAAAAGAACCTTCTTCTTCCACCTTTTATTCCTTTTATTGTTGTGTCTGGTAAGGAAGGAAGTAACATGTTGTTTTAATTTTTTTTTTTTCCCCCATTTCTTTGAATACAAAATAATATTGTAGCCTGGCATATTGAGCGTCATAAAATCATAATAATAATAAAAATAAAATTATACTAGAAAATTCTGAAAAAGGAAGAAGAATATTTGGTTTCCTACACATACGAGTAATATAATGGTTAGCGTCATAAAAGATAACAAGTATGTATGTAAGTTTATTGGTCTGCGTTATATGTTTATTATATTAAATATAGCCCTTGTACAATTTTAATTTTTTTTTATATAATATATACAATTAGACCTCAATTATATTTATGTATTTTGATAATAAAATTTAATGATCTCAGATTTTAATTTTAAAATTTAGTAATTTTCATTATTAAATTTAAATTTATCATTTCAAAATATACAAGATCTTCGATTTACGACGCATCTGATCTACAACGATTTAGATTATGACGTCTTTGTTTTTAAAATTTGTTAATTCTAATTTGCTGCATTGTTTTTGGCAATGGAAGAATTTAAATTTTAAACAGTGTCAAATTTAATTAAACTGTCAAATTAATTTTGATATTTTTAATACAATTTCCGAAAAAAAAAAAAAAAATCCAATTTTCGTAATATTTTGGGAATTATTCAAGATAATGTGCTAAACAAGAATTTGATCTTATTCAGCACATTATTAACGGTAAAGTATTGAAATTATAACAGTATTTATGATTAATTTCAATTTCACTTCGAAATATCATAATATGGAGTTACGACATTTTTAAAATTATTTTGTAATCTTATTCTTATTATTTAATTGTATCTAGTTATCAAATCGTTTAAACATGAAAAATAAAATTTGTATATATACATATGTTTGTAGATACAACACAAAAAGATATACATATATGTACTTAGTTAAGTGATTTTTTTGTAAAACAACAAAACAAAAATGGTATCGAACATTAAAATTCACTAAACGATTTACAACACATTTTAACATAAAAAAAATGTTGAACAAGTAAAAACGTTTCAGTCGGTATATAAACCGATTAAATTATACCCAACACCTTTCATTGTTCTATAGCAATTACTCGAACCTGCCAAACAATTCTATAAAAACTGCACAAATATGTTTGATATATAATTGGACTCATAACTGCCAAGTTTCATGAATGTGACTTAATCATTTTTCCCCAAATATTAAAAATTAACTTTTGGAGTTGCATGGCAGCTATCCGAACCCGATGTCCGAATTGGTCCAATTACAATAGCAGCCGTCCTTGGGATAAAAGAATCAACTTGTTAAAG